GTGTTGCAGGCGCGTGCTCTTCGTCCTACAGTGTTGTAGGCGTCGCCTTCAGCCCCCGGGCGAAGAGTCCAACACAGACGTACGACAGCCACTATGTTCCAAGGGGGGACCCCCGTCCCCTACAATGGCAAACGAGCAGTCATCGCGCCTTCCGCTCCCCACAGGGTCACAGATCGACACCCTCGCCCAACACGCCGCCTGCAAAGGCGGGACGGGACGCACCCACTTCCTAAAAGAGGTCAGGGCATGGCCTACGAAGATCAACGAACACGCCACTTCTGACACTATCTGCCATGTTGTACAGGGCAGGCGCAGGGAAAAAGGAAGACCCGGATCCTTCGAAAGACCTTCTATACCCTTGGTATTTTCCACTTTCTCCCATCTGTAACCCCTGCTCCCCTTGGTCTATAAAAGGGAGGGCAGGGCTCCCCACTAGAGGGACCGACTTTGAACGGACAACTCACATATAGACGAACTCATAGAGGGCTCAGTTTGACATCACATACACAGCCAAGCCACCACCAGGCTCTTGGCCTCCTTTCGACCCTTCCATCAGAGACCTGGGACCAGTCTCTCTCTCGACCGTTTGTACCCCCTACTACGAACCGCTTTTGGTGCTAATAACACGAGCAGTAACAGACTTGACATAGGGGCTGATGGATGTAGGGACATTCAGTCCGAACCAGTATAAACCTTGTGTCCTTTAGCGCACCATCCGGGTCTAACGCGTATAATTATAAATTTACTAGCTGGTGCTTGTTCGAAACACCGACAGGCTCCATCATTTTGATCAGCTGGTGGTGCTGCTCGGCAGTCTGAGTTATTCCCTGCAAGTGCACAATGATAATGATGAACTCCGATCTCCAACGTCAAAGACGAGCGCTTCAGATGCAGCACTGACCTCAATTTGTTTCACCACTCTAGCAAGGGCGGATTTCAGTCTCCACATCTCCCTGGTGGTGTCCTCCTCCTCGACAACTACCACCTCGTCGCCGCGCTTGCGGAGGATTCAGACAGATTGGGGTCGAGGTTCATCACGCTCGATCTCCTCCACCTCGTCCTCCTCCACCGTAGCTGGAGGCACCACCTCGGGATTCGGTGGCCGGATAGCGTGTCCGACCACGCCCTCCGACGCCTCAGGGAGCGCCGACTGTTCCCCCGACACCGCAGGCTTCTCCACTCCAGATTTTGGCGTGACGCCGGTAACTCCAGCATCTGCTCCCCAGGACCTGGCGGTTCCCGTCGTTGCCTCGGGCGCTGCCGCCGACCCATCCGCTGCCGGTGCTAACCTTTCGTCACCGCCAAGTCCAGCAGAAGGGGCGGTTGATTCCCTCCGTAGGCTGCCGAGCACCCTGGGATTTTGGGATGGGGTCCACTGGCGTCTCATCCACCCCGGGGCCAGCTTTTGGCGGTTCGGCATCCGCCTCGGGGCCAGTTTTCGACTGCTCATCAGTCTGGACGGGCGGGGCCGGGTCCTCCGTACGCTTCGCTCTACATCAAATCGGCTCGTCAGTCGCCAAAAAACTAAGGAATGACAATAAAGTAACTCCAAGGTAAAGATACTTACGGTTTGGTCTACCGGGGACTTCCTCTGCCCGCCGCTCTAGGACCTCCTCCGCCTGTTGCTCGGGGACTTCTTCGCCCCTCTTCGATCGTACCTCCATGTGCATGTTGCGCGGAGGTGCTTCAGTGCTCGGCAGAGGGGCCACTGGAGCCACGTCGTCATCCGACCACTCGAACACTGTGGTCCTTCGCGTCCGAGTGGTCTGGTCACCACCAAGTGAGATGCCGCCCGGCTTGAGGGGAGCGGCGCCAGCCGTGTTTCTCTTCTTCTGAGCTGGCTCATCTGCTGCTGCTCTCTTTCCCTAGACTTTCTCCGACACCAGGGATGGGCTTTCCAAAGATATGCTGACGGTTCCTTCCTCAGGCTGTGTTGGTCGTCGAGTATCTACTCCCTGTGGCCAATCGACCCTCGGCACGCTCGAGAAGTACATCACTCTTTCCTGCGAATGGATCTTCGCATAAGTGAATTAGTCCACTGCTCGGCAATTACAGAGAATAAAAAGTTTCAGGAACATACTACTGAGATATTTACCTGAGGAGGCAGATTCTTGTAGTTAAAGGGCCTCGTATACCCTAACATGCTGAATGAGGCAAACAGAGCGAATAGCTATGCAGCTCGCTCTTCCACCACGTTCCTCGACAGCATCTCTGGCCTCTCTCGGGTACCGTCGGTCTCCCCCTTGAACTCAAAGGCGGGGTGGGCCCTCTCTTTACAGGGCTGGACGCGGCGTACTATGAAGCTCACCGCCACCAATCCACCATTGGTCTTCACGCCCCTGATTAAGCCAAGGAGCTCCCTCACTTGCTCCATATCAGCGTTGCTTGGCATCTCTGACCAACTCCTCTGGCTCTCTAGGACGTGGTCGTCATCGCAGTGGACAGTAGGGTGGATGTGCTTCATGTAAAACCACCTGCTGTTCCACCCCTTTAGCGACGGGTTTAGCGGCACAGTAAGATACTCGCCCGCCATTCCGTCGCGTAGCTGAAGGTACACTTCGCCGACCACCTTGGAACCACCGCCGCCTCTCTTCTTCAGCCAGAATAGGTGGCGGAATAGGTTGAAGTGGGGGAGGATTCCGAGGTACGCCTCACAGAAATGGATGAAGATTGAGATATGCAAAATGGTATTTGGGTGAAGATTGCACAGACTAACCACCCAAAACTCCAACAAATCCCTCAGAAAAGGATGAACAGGAAACCCCAATCCTCGCCAAAAGTAATCCTCAAACACCACTGCTTCATCAGTATGGGGCATTAGGAATGGCTCACCGAGGGCCGGCCACCATCCGGCGGTAACACGGTCAGGAAGAACTCGGCCTCCACCAATCTGTTGAGCTCCGCTTCTCCGGTGCGCGACGGCACCCACTCCTCATCACGCCTGACTTCGGCACTTGTCTTCTTGGGGCTTGTCTTTTTGGCTTCACAGCTCATTTCTTCGGCGCCATCTCTCAGCTTTTGTTAGGGTTTGGCGGCGGAAGCAAGTATGGATGTGAATCTGGAAAGAGCGAGGGCTGAGGAGGAAGACGAAATGGCAAAGTGGCAAAGGTGGAAGCACGCGATGCAGCGGCGCAGTTATAAAGCACTCCCCCAACTTCTCACATTCGAGGGTTTTTGGGAAACTTCTCCTGCGATTTGCGTTTCTCCGAATTCTCCGCAACTGAAGGTGGGCTTTTACCTGGGCTTTCGTGCAGCCCCGGCCCGTATCGCTGATTTATCGTCGCAATTGGTTATTACTCGTCGAATATTTGCCAACATCTCTGCCAACTGTTATGGCTCAGTAATTACTACTGTACAGACATTACTCCGTTATTTTCTCCGCGATTCTGTTTTCCTCTTGAGGCTCGGGGACTGCGTCAGCATTACGTCTCGATTCCTCAACGTATTGGGGATTTTTCTTCAGTTGACTGCTGTTTCTGATCATGGCACCACATGACCACGTCACCTACTGTCAGACTCGGGGACTAAGTGGGCACAATTCACCTTGCGGTGAATGTGCTTTTCGGGGCTACGCCTAGGGACTGGCTGTCTACTCGGCTGGTCTTTTATTTTTCTTCTACTTCGGACCCTAGCACCACATGACTATGTCAACTACTGTCAGGCTCGGGGACTAAGTGGGCACACTTCACCTCGCGGTGAATGTGTTTGCTTTGTTCTGAAAGACTCCGCGCCTCTTGAAGCTGAAGAAGACTTACTCATTTTCTCGTGGTCGGACTCTAAGTGGGCACACTTGATCCACTGCGAAGAAATTTTCGATTCTGAACTTGAGCTCCTTGCACCCTTATGGCAAGTCGTACTTGGGTTATGTTGCTCGGCGACGGTTCACGCTGCTCGATAACTGCTCACAATTGCTCGGCAACTCAACATGGTGGTCGGACCATGAGTTTGGCTGCTCGGCTTTGTTCGCACCTGCTCGAACAAGCTTAAGACGGCGTTGCACAACGGGTATAAGGCGCTCGGAGACTAGCTGTGGGGGTACGACCCCGGATACCCATGGCGGACTACATGGGCTACACCCCCAGGGACGGCCCAGCCCACAAGACGAAGCTTTGCGGGGCACGACTCTACTTGGCGTCTCCCGTAAGACACCAGAAAGATATCCTGAGGATACTACGAGATATGTATGATCCTAAGATTTCTGTAATCAGTTATTACTTTCCGGTTATCTCTCAGATCTAACCGACTTATAACTCTACTCTCCAGACTATATAAGGCAGGCAGGGACCCCTCCAAACTCACGTAATATCATACGATAGCTAATACAAACCAAACAGACCACAGGAGTAGGGTATTACATCATACTGACGATCTGAACATGTCTAACTCGTGTATCTCTTGTTTTCTTAGGTGGTGTTTGGATCCAGTGATTAAAATTTAGGAGGTGTGTCGGGAGAATGTTGCATGGGATGTTTAATACTAATAAAAAAACAAATTACATAATCCATCAGTACTACACGAGACGGATTTTTTAATCCTAATTAATCCGTCATTAGTATATGTTTACTATAACATCACATTGTCAAATCATGGACTAATTAGGTTTAAAAGATTCGTCTCGCAAATTAGTCGCAAATTATACAATTAGTTTCGTAATTAGTGTATATTTAATATTCCATACATATGTCTAAATATTCGATGAGACAACTATTAAAATTTAGAAGAGGCGACAAACACCACCTTAATCTGACGCTTCGTGGGAGGGGTGCCGACGATATTCCGTCGACGGACTCCCACCGTGACTTCTGTTCGTCACTCATCAGCGCGGCGGCCTGCGTCCAGGTCCAGCCAACGGAGAGGAACCTAACCCTAGCATCCCGTCGCCGCTGCCGGCGATCCGAACCGCGGATAGAGTGATTCACCCAGTGGGGGAGATTGAAGCCCCTTGGTCTGGGAATTTCGGGGGGAGCAAGTGATTTGGTGGTGAAGGCAGGTCGAAGGCTATGGGGTCGTCGTCGAAGGTGGTGCGGCCGGAGGAGGTGCTGGAGTCGCTGAAGAACGACGGCAGCATCGACGCGCTCCGCATGAAGATCATCGCCCAGCTCAAGGCCAACGTGCGTGCACGCCTCCCTCCCTCTCCCGATTCCCCTCCTATTCATTTGAGTCTTTTTCTTTTTGCTCCTCCTTACTATTACTATTATGTTAGAAATTGTTTGTTGTAGACATCAAAAAAGAAATTGTTTGTTGTATGATGAGAGTGCATTATTTAAGAAATCACTTCGAGCTTATGTTGGTGGACCTGCTTAGGAGATATGCTCATAGTATGAGACTCTAGGACGATCTGAATTCATGATATAGCTATCCAGGCTGGTTGTGTGTGTTTTCTGTACTCGATGGAATCAGTAAGCTCTGTGACTAAATCATTAAAATTAAGTTAGAGTTCAGTAGATTGTTTAAATGCTGTTGCAGTTCAGAGGCGATCGTGCATGTCCCAGGAGAACTTTAAACAGGGATTCAGGGAATTGGTTTGCATGAGAATTAGGGTATTTAGTTGTTCTTTTCTATCACGTGGCACTCCTTTTGTTGTCGGTTTCAATCTGTATTTCCCTTGCATCAACATGACGGTTCGAGAATTGTTTTGCATTAGAATTTGGGTATTTAGTTGTCCCTTGGTATCACGTGGTGTTTCCTCATTGGTTCTGTTCTACTTTTCCCCATATCAACGTGATGTATCGGGAATTGGATCACACAAGAATTTGAGTATTTACTTGTCCTTTGGCGTCACTTGGCACATGTTGTTTCCTCAGTGGTGTCATTCTGTTTTCCCCTCCAAACAGCATTACGTTTCGGGAAACTGTTCTTTTTCTTTCCTTATTATTTATTAGCATACAGTTTTGTGTGTGCGTATGTCAGGATATTCTTGTCGATGTAGAATAAAGTCGTTTCTGCATTGTCTTATGCTACATGTACCCTTCTTCATGCTCTTGGTATCACTCTATGTCAGACTCACCTGACCAATAGAGTACTGAGAAGTGGAGATTTGGTGATGAACTTTCTTACTTTGATTTCAGGAAGATATGAAGAAAAACACTATGATGATGGTGGAGCAAAGCAAGGTACTGAATACTCCTGGAGCTGAGAAAAAGACCAAGAGGGAGTTGTTTGATGCACTTCGACAAGAACTGGAGTAAGCTCCTGCCTTTCTGTTTGAATCTATGCTCAGTAAGTCAGTAACAGTACATTACCTGGTTTGTATTTGGCCTTAACCACAATTTGCTTATCTGGATGTTACAAAATGTTTATAGCAGTTTTTGCTAAAAAAAGTAAAAACATGTGTAGCCTTGACCTCATACACAAATCTCCAGGTCTAGGATAAGCCATCTTCCTACTGTGTTGTTGCCCATTGCTGGTTGTTCAAAAAGTAGTAAAGTGGTATAGTTCCCATGATTTTATTTGTTCTTCCATTGTTCTGGTGTAGAAAATCCAAATTTACGTCTCGCATTTCGCAGTTTTCGACTCCATTCCCTACTTCTTGCCTCAACCAGTATGAAAATTTCATCAAAACTATGATGCAGTGCTAACTGTTTTATGCAATGCAGGACTCCAGTCCTTGAGAAAGGCTCCAAGGCAGTTTGGGAGCTGATTCTAGACAATGGTGGATTAGGGAAAGAGAACCGAAACAGTTGAGAAAGTCTTCTGCCGGCTCAGTGGAATCGACATGATGCCACCTCCGCCTTCAGCCGCTGGTGCTCATCAAGAGAAAGATGACATGGCTGTTGATGAAGTTGTGAAGAGCAAGGAGGTGGATACTTTCGAACCATCCTCATCAAGGAAGAGATCCTTCAGCAACATCAACCGAAAAGGAGTAGGTGCTTTACCAAATGGCAGTGCTACGGACCAGCATGATGAGTCCGAGGATAGTGACCAGAAGATATGATGCTGCTCTGCGCTGTAATTTTTAGTTCAGGCTGTAGTAGCTTTGGTGTTTGAATGATATAACAAGTCGAATTGTGATCCCTGCATATCCTAGGGTTGTATGGTATATTGGCAAGTTATACTTCCTGTTCATACAAGTTCTGTGAGCAACTGCTATAGTATATTTCTGTTTTCAAGAAAGCAGCTGCAGTTGAGTTTCTTCTGAATATAGGATAAATTGGTTGACTAATTCCTCTTGACAGTTGTGTTATGTTTAACTTGTAATCATTCAAGAATTATGTTAGATGCTTCTTGATTTTGCAATATTTTAGCAATTTTCCAATGGTACCTTGGTCTGAGTTGGATGGTAACCATTTATTTTCTTGTTTAGTTTTGAGGGTTGGAATGGGGATCCACCACAACATTCATCAAAAGCACTTGTTTAGTGTAAACATGAATGTTGACTCAAGTCATCCCACCAAAATTTCCAGAAAGACCCTTACATGGTTCATCTATTCCACGATGACTTCGAACCAAAAACACCAATAGCAGCCAAAGAGTTTTGTCCCCACTAAAAAATCCATCCTTTTTTTGCAGAAATAATCCCTTGTCCTTGGTAACCAAAGGCATAAAACCTTACCAGTAAATTTGATAAACCTTACGAGATTGTGGTGTGCTCGTTGCCTCTTGATGCCAAAACAATGGCATAAATGCACTGATACAACTATATCAGTAGCAATAAGGAAACACGGCAGGGCATCCACTTTAGTATCAACTGTCAAGTGTCACAAGGAAATAGCCAGAAAAACAAGCTACTCATAAGTCAGACAAGAATGGCTCTACTAGTACAATTGAGATAGGCTTCTGCTCAGCATTACATCATTGACATCATGAAATGGGCTGTTGTTCACTATCACTAGAACTTTTAAATCTTTAGGCTTCAGTCGACGTGTTCGTCCCTCCAGTCACGAATCATGAAGCTACAAACTCTTGATGTTCCATTCCTTGGCTCATGATCAAATGTTAGGTGATCGGTATCGGCTTCTGCATCAGGCATCGATGAAGTGGATGTCAAAGGTGCTTGGATGGATCTGCCACACATTCAGGGAAGCGTATTCCTCCAAGCACTCCTTCAATTGAGCCTCGCTGTATCCCTGTGATACAGACATTTTAGCACCAGCCAATTTTTCAGCAATCAGGCCATACTAATTTGTGCACCTGTACCAGTATGTGTATGTAGAAGTAGAAACTGTACCTTTCTGGAGATCAAGTTAAGAGCATGAGCATATCTCACATCCATGCTGCTCGTCCTAGCAGCTTCGTCTCTCAGGATAGAATATATGTCAGATATTGCATCAAGGCCAGACCGTTGGCGGTCATCAGAGTATAACGAGTACTTGGACATTTGCATCAGTCGCAGTGCTTCGTCGACATCACTCTGAGCCACAGTTTCTGAAAACCTAAGTCTTGCCAAGGCCTGAAATAGGCAAGCAGCATCATGTTTAAAGAGATATTTTCATATGGTATTGTGAAGGGAAAACAGTTAAGTTACTTACAATAGAAATACGGAGTATGCTCAAAAGTGTCCTGATAGTTGTGTAGGAGGTTGGTGCATTTGACTTTGCCTCCTCTTGGCGGATGCTGGAATATGCAGTTGCAATGTATTCCTCGAGCTCTCTAGGAACAGAAGGAATGACTCTTCTAGCAGCAGATATGTATGCTCTGTGGACAGATAAAGATTATAGACTAGCAAGTATTAGATAATGCAAAGATACTACACAATGATTTTATCTGTATTTCAGATTTTATAGTTTCTGGAACTTCCAACTAAAATATGAGCAATTCAACTATGAAATTGAAATTAAGTGAACATGAGCACTGCCACTCGAGGAATAGTGTCCTTGCCTGAGTACAGATGGCTCAAGTGGTGTGAACCCCAGCGCTGGTGATTCAAGATTTTGATGCACATGAAGAACGTGTCTTGCCATTTCAAGATCAGTTTCCATGTCTGCACGATCCAGGATCAACCAAAGGAGGTCGAAACGAGACAGAAGCGCTGGAGGTAGATTTATATTTTCTGCTGGAGTCCTCCTCATATCGTACCTTCCCCTGAATAGTTAAAGGCAATTACCATTGTCAACTGATGAAATTTTCTTTTTATCCCATGGAGAAAAGTATATTCATATCAAAACTTACCATGCTGGATTTGCAGCAGCCAGAATTGCGGTTCTCGCATTAAGAGAGGTGGTGATGCCAGCCTTGGCAATGCTAACTGTTTGCTGCTCCATTACCTCATGAATCGCTGTCCTGTCTGACTCTTCCATCTTGTCAAACTCATCTATAGCACAAATGCCCATATCTGCCAGTACCTGGAACCCAAGATTTTGTGCTGAGATTAATTATTAGCAAGATTGCATGCCTGTGATTTGGACCAAATGAACCCTTTTTGGGGGGTGCTAGCACAGTTTGTAGTACTAAAGAGACAGCTCGAAACAAGAATGAAATTGAAGGTTTACCAGTAATATAAGTACGAAATCTCAACTGTTGAAAGATTTAAAAAAGAAAAAACTACATATTTTCTCAATAGCTGTAGTCAGGATTGGAGTAAAGTTCATATATATACTTGTGAAAAGCACAAACACGTATACACCTATAGTTCAGTAGAAAAGAGAACTACAGTAAAAGATGCCATCATAAGGTGGTGTTGGTCTTACCAGTGCTCCACCCTCGAGGACAAACTCATTTGTTACTGGATCTTTCAGGACGGCAGCGGTAAGACCAACACCACTGCTCCCACGTCCAGTGGTGTACACTCCTCTTGGTGCAACATTGATAATATGCTTCAGAAGTTGACTCTTTGCAACACCAGGATCTCCCATCATGCATATATGCAGGTCTCCTCTGACCTGTACATTTACATTTCAGTCAATGTTGAGATGTGAACAGTTGGACAGAACAAAGCCTCATGGAAATGACATCATACTGATTCCTAGCAGCATACGTACCTTCATACCATCTGCAAGCTTCCGATGGGGTGCACCAACAAGTAGTAACAGCAGTGCTTTTTTGACATCTTCATGGCCAAATATTTCAGGTGCCAAGGACCTTGCCAACTTACTGTAGATATCACCGTCCTCAGCCAAACGGTCAATTTGTTCCTGTTCATCACCTTTTAGTTCATACCTGCAACAGTTTTTCAATCGCTATCAGACAGCTGCAGAAGATAAATGGATTGCTCGGCATGAAACCTAGATGACTTACTCCTCATATTTTTTCTTGAAATGGGTGACAGACATTGCTTCCAAGTAAGTATCAGCAACTAATCCTGCACGCATCGCTCTAAACCCGTAGTATGGCATAGGGAGAAAAATGCCCGACATCTCAACCACATCTCCAGGTGCAACCTGCTCATGATAGCATTTAGTACTTGGTTATATTACAGAATATCTTTAGTGAGTTCTTAATTCTCATGAGAGCATTTAGCTAGTGAATTGAATAAACGAAAAGCATAAATCTAAAAGCAACTTCCTTTCGAAGCTAAACTGTAGAGTACATTGATACACAAATGGTGATAACAACAGGAAAGTAGAACCTGCAAAGCAACTCAAAGGAAACTGCTCAAAGTGCAAGAAAGCTACTATTTTGCTTTACCTTTCTAGTCAGCTCTCCTCTTAGATGAGCAGTCAGAGAACGAGGAATGTGGCCTTTTGGTACATGTTCTGCTAACTCTTGAAGCTTCACCTGCAAGACAGTGTAGTTGTTATATGGAAGTGGAATCCAAAATATGATGAAACTTTGGCTGGTCCTTTCAATGAAGAAAGATAGTCCTGCTTGACCAGATTGTGAAGAAAGGTTAATACCTCCTGAAATTTCAAAAACTTTGATGCACGCAGTTGAAGGATTAGATTCCCCTTTGCTTTGTTCAGCTTGCATCGTTGAGATGGACATTCAATGAGGGGCATAAACACTCTAGCAGTCACTTCCTGCCAAATTCAAAACGAATAGAACTTAGACCGGAGACAAAATTCTAAGTATGCAACTGAGTATAGACAGAAGTGCATTTAGCCGCGTCTTTCAGTATATATCCTACACTGCTCTATGATCATTTTGTTACGAGTAAAGGGAGACTGAACTGGATGATACTATTGAGGCCTAATGGGGACTATATATAGAGTATATGAGGGACACAGGAGAGAAACCCTAGACTAGGAGATTACACTAATACCCTTGACTAATATACCTTAACACATTTATCATACAATGTCGATATATAGAGCCAAATTATTAAAAGAGGAAGCCTAAAATGAGATCAAGTACCTGGTATATCTCAAATCCACATTCTTCACATGTATAAACAGCAACCTGCATCAAGGGCTTCACATCCGAGCAGCGAGTAACAATCCCAGATATTTTCACAAGCTGCCCAATGTTGGATGCCTTTACTTGCCTAATGGTGAGCGGAGTCGCCTTTGAGAATGTCTTGATGTAAACCTCACTGTAATGCCAAAATAAGATCAGTTTTAGATAAACATCAACAGAGCTCGATAATTGGTTAGACACGAAAATTATTGGAGTGCAGTTCCAGTTGGAGGGGCAGATAGTGTTGGCGAGAATGTGAGACGCAAATGTTCATATCTGGCTGAAATATTATATGGTAGTATAACAGTAATCCAATATCCTTATATCCACAAAAGTGCAAGCTTGCAGGATATTTTATATTCCCTCGAGTCATCTGAGGCTAATGTTCCTAACATGTTCTATCTTTTTTTTTGAACGAACTAACATGTTCTATCAAACCAGATGAAATGGTTAGATTTACAGAAAAATCAGAGGAAGAAAAGCTAGTTTAAATTGTGAAGTGACAAGCAGTAATATGCTTTATGTTCTTCATAACATGCAGTGCAATACTCTCTCGATTCCATTGGAGCATAACCACAGGCCCATCTATTTTGTTTAACCAATTTATTGGAATCAGTTCACCATTCACCACGACAAATTTAGGACAAAGCCACTTACAAAAACCGTTTGATCTCTGGTGGCATTCTCTGCAGCGGGTCCGTGCCGTCCGCGCCGCCGTCGGCCCCCTCATCCACACGCTGCGTCATGAGGATGTCCCTGTCCTCGTCGACGGTGTACGCCTCTGTGGGCTCCGGCATGATCTCGTCCATGGCCTCCGCGAAGACGCCGATGTAGCGCCGCGTGTTCTCAGTGACACGCTGCAAGAACTCCTCGTCGATATCCTTATACTGCACACCAGAAACAACATTTTGCACCCAAAATCACATGTTTGCGTCCGCAAAGTTGGTAAAAGGGGGGCAAAAGAAAAGGAACTGAATGTTGTGGTGGTGAGGAGTTGGTACATGGAACATGTCATCCAGCTCGATCTGGACCGCGCGTATCTTCCTGTTCGCGACATCTTGCTGCAACCAGACAGAGAGAAATCAGCGTGAAATTGCGAGGAAAAAAAACAGATCTGGAAAGGGCAACCCTAGAATACACGGGGAAGAGATCATGGTTACCAGGATGTTCAGGTATTTGGGCTCGCCGTGAGGGCCGGCGAAGTTGGACAGGAAGTCCTTGGCGAGCGCTGCAGGCACAAAAATCAAACACCAAGAACCGACGCGCCGTCAGAGAATGTTCTGGAACCTTGCAGGGGCAAACGAAGAAACGGTTCGAGGAGGTTCCGGAGGATGTCGCCACAGCAAGACGTACCTTTGTCTGCGGCGAAGTCGGGGTTCTTCATCCCGGCGGCTGTGATTGGAACGGCGGTGGCGGCGGCGAGGAGGTGGTGGGAGGCGGACAAGAGCGGGGGCGCGGCTGTGGGGAGGCGGCAAAATGTTCGGGGGAACGGCGGGAAGAGGGGAATAAGAGGAGGGTTTTTGGCGGGAAGGCAGAGGGCGGCGTGGCGGGAAGAGCAGGTTGGCCCTGGACCTCGAGTGGGCCGAGATGTTGTGGGCTTGGGCTTATTAGAAGCACGAGTGGGCTGATACATTGTGGGCCGTAATCAGGCCGCTCTGCGCTGCGTGGTTGGTGACCGATGTGCCTGCCCGCGAGATATTTTTGGCGCTCTTTTGGTTTATTTTTCCTGTGGTGATTTTTCATTTCTACCATATTCATACCTTTTAAAGAAAAAAGAGAGATTTATTAATTGTCACCAGTCTTTTTTGTTTTTGAGCACAACCTGGCCTTCATGGCCTTTCATTAACAGATGTAAGCTCGACACAATCGCGAGCTACTAAATTGTTTACAAAATCTGGGAGGGGATCATCCCACACCAAGGATTGACCCGGGTCCCAACTCAGAGGAACGTGGTGAAGCTAAGACTTTATTACAAAGAAAATGATCAGCTAGTAGCTCACGGATACTTCGGAAAAAGACTCCACTTGCTGCCATATCCCTGGCATGTGACGTGATCGCTTCCCACAGTTGGCTGCAATCCCAGGAGATGCCTGCCCGCTGCGCTGACTCCAACGCAAACAAGCATGCCATCGATTCAGCTGTGAGACTTTTGGTTACAATTGTGAGCAATAATCTGCTCACACAAACCGACGATTTCAACAGTTGCTCGATCTTATGAGCCACATAGTTACACTCTATCTCCTTGTCCTTGCAGACATTCTTCTACAAACTTGCATCCTGTTCGCTGCAGCTTAAAGCGGTTGTCGTTGTCGCTGCCGCTCCTCAATTATGTTGTCATGTACCTTTGAGGTTCTTGCAGCTGTAGCCGCTGCGTTTTAAGCTACAGAGAATAGAGCCTTGAGGTCATGAGGTGCGATGTTCTTCAATCACAGCACATCAACATGTTTGCAACTGAACTGCAATAATCTGTCTCAAGGATCATTGGGTTGCTAGATCATTCTGCCGCCACATGGAGAATGCCATCTAGCACTTCAATTTCTTCTGCATACACACCCTTTCGGATTAGTTTGGATCTATCATTTTCCATTCAATTTCTTCATAATACACTCCCTTTCGGATTAGTTTGGATATATCATTTTCATAGGGATTGGAGGGGATTGAGAGGAGTATCAACCTGTTCGCTCGGTCATATTTGACTTATAAGTCATGACTTATCAGCCAACAAACAAGATTTTTTCTCTCACACCAAACCAGCCAACAATCCTTTCAGCCATGACTTATAAGCTAAACCACGTATATGAGAATGAGTGTATCAAAGTAGCCCTCTGTGTTGCTGGCTGGGAAGAGAGCACCTACTATGGTTCATATCCTCACCGTGCTACTCTCTCTGTTTTAAATAAATAGATTCCTAACAAATTTATATCAGATTAGTATGATAGAGAAAAGACCATATTATCATTCATTAATCGGAGTTGATGCAATCTGATCGGTTATTTTCAAGTTGCATGCTAATTATAGCATTTACTGCACACACTCTTGGATTGGGGAGTTCAGGGGGTCCCCAACGGGAGGCTCCCGATTTCTTACGTGGAGCTGAGAGAACGGAAATCTCAATCGCCCGCGACGAGTTCGGCGCTAGTCTCGCACACTTTCTCGTAGAACGTCGGGTCTCTGTTTACTTGTCCCCATGTCACAGCTAATGAGTTTTGTTTCTTTCTTTATTACGCTCCATGCCATCTCAGTCAGCGATTTGACCGGGCTGTTGCGGACGCCCTTAGGGGTTGCGTTGGTGAAAAAGAGGGAAATAGGAGGGGGTATTGTAAATGCTAACAGAGTCCAAGCAAAATAAATGGGCCGAACCCATTGATTTGTAGATAAATTCTTTGGTTAGGAATCTACTTAAGCCTCCTTTGGCACGGCTCATCTAAAACGGTTTCACCGGTGAAGCCAAAGTCGGTGAAGCTAGAAAAACTGGCGTTTTCCGGCTTCTAGTTCATTTTAACCCCGGCTTACAAAACGGCTTCACGCTACAGTACCTCGATTTGTGCAAAATAGATGAAGCCGAAGCCGAAGCCGGCATAAGCCGTGCCAAAGAGACCCTTATTTAGAAACACGGGAGTACAATTTCATATGACCATTGAAAAATACTAACATTTATTCCTTTAGGCACATATAGCAAGGAACTAAAATTTTCATTAAAAACAGTTGCGGGTCCATTTGTCATCAAATAGGCATAGAACCATGGACTACATTCTGTTGGGATGGGCCTACATCCGGTTTTTTTAAAGTTGTAGTGCAGTTTTATTGAACGGGCGCTGCATAATATAAAAAAATCGGAGATATGTGGAATGAACTCAACAAATTGAGAGTTCAAAAATTCATGTGACAAGAAAAACGTGTCACACAATTTAGAGGCACATGATTTGTTTTAGATTTTTTTTAAAAAAATAGTTACCGCGTAGAGGGTAGAGGGTATATATCAAAATTTCCATCTGCTTTGCGGTTTGTTCATGAGAAATAACAGCAAATAACATTGTTAAAATGCTGCGCTATTAAAATTATTTCCTCGTATCTTTAAAGGTGGAGAATAGTATAAAGTGCTAAGATAATGAGGAATTTGTTTTTTTTTATGAAGAGATATTTTAAGATGATAAATGACTTCCGAAAGAAAGGATAAACATCATGAGAATTCATCGTCATTGATTCTATACGAATAATAACAACTTCCATTGGATTATCAAAGAATATCCATGCAAGTGTTCTTGCAATTGGGGTTGATGCTAATGCAGAATCATTTCCCCCCAAATGATACATACACAAACACTTAGACCTAATTTGGATCCAAGGGGAGGCAAACCCAGGGATACAAAGCCCTACTAGAGAACTAAGTTATTTATTCATCCCCATGGATTGTTGGCCGTGAGAAAGTCTGGGATCCCAAGGTAATTTGAGTTTCCAAACTAGCCCTAATATATACGCATGCATATTTACCTCTATGAATAATTGAACATCTCAGGAAGACCGAGATATGGCAAATCTTGAAACTGACAAAATCATAGGTGTCCCAATGTGGATGGATAGGTTGCCTACCACTTAATGAATATCGCTGTTTCTTCCTCGAACAATTCCAGAAAAAAATTGCAAAAACATATAACAAGTTTAAGACTTAAACATAAATAGATATGTTCCACCATGAGAAACTTAGCGGTTCGTACAGCATAGTCATTCATAGGTTTAAGCTATCTGCAACCGGCGGCTACTACAACTTGAAGATGGTACTTTATTCCTGTAGAGTCTGTATATTTTCCGCAACGAACTTTACTATCCTTATCCTCCCCAAAAATATCTATTTTTCACGGTGCCTTTGTCAACTTGGTTTCTTGGATTATCCATCCAGGAATTGAACAGAATCATGGAGGTTTAGTTGGTGTGTTTTGTCAACACAAAAAGAGAAGAAAAAAGAAGCGTAAACCCTGGGATGCAGCCACACATGGTGCATGCACTTGGAAGGCCACCATCGCAATCAAACACCGCTGGACGCCCAAATTTCCTAAACCATGAGCCCCCACCTCTGCAAGAACCGGTGGCACACTGCTAGGCTGCTAGGTACAGTTTGTTTCCATTTCTCTTCCTGAATAATGTACATATATATGTTACCACCACTCTCAGTAGGCACTGAGCCGAGAGGCACGCATATAAGAGGATGTTTGAATACAAAGACTAATCGGTAGCTAACTAAAAATTAGTTAAAATTAGTTATAGTGCATTTAAACAGGAGGGCTAATAAGTGGGTTACTCTGTTGGTCAGATCTTCAACTGTTGTATGTCACCTTGCTAGCCAATCTTAGCTAGTTTGAGCTAGTTTTTAACCCAACTAGTAACTATCTCTAGCAAACATGGCAAGAACAAACGGCATGAATATAAACTAATCATTCAAGATTTTTGTGATCATCTGCAGTTTGGAACCTTCGTTAGTGCTTTCAATGCACAGTTGGGAGCTTTTTCTCGAGTTGGACCTGACCTTAAAACGTGGTCGGAAAGGAGGAAATAAAGATTAGCAAATCGGTGCAGGGCAACATGCCAAAGTGGCCACTGGATTGAAGCACGTTTATGGTGCTCTTTTGAGGGGCAGGTCATGGCCCGCTTGACTTTCTTAAGTTTTTCTTTTCATTGTAGCTGCTTTCATCTTGTCCTCTTAGTCCCATCCTCTGTCTGTCCTCTCTAATTAACTAGGAGAAGTGGAGAACCACTGAATGAGGCATGCCTTTTTGGTAGGACATTATTCTATCTCTCTCAGTCTGATCTACTATATTAGGCTGCCACAAGTTGGCTGGTAGCCTAATAATAAATAAAAGGATCACCACAGTTTAGGACTAAAAAAAACTGGACTCATGGTGTTGTTTTTGTTAGTGCATATACATGTGCTTCTGTGTTTGGTTCAACAAATTTGTGTTATGAATTGCCTTGACGTTGTCATTTAAAACCCTGTGTTAGGTTTCCCTCTTGCAATTGCCTGCAGGTGACCAGAAGAAACCCACTTTGAAAGAAAAACATTGTGGGGACTTAGCGCCTAAGTGGCTGCTTAAGAAAGCTCCTTTTGCACCATAGAAAGAGAAGATCCACACTTGTTCTTCTTTTTCATTTCTTTTTACTTTAAAATAGAGTAATGGATGCACTGTAATGAAATTAATAAGTCAAAAAACATGTACTAGCAAAAGGAGCAAAGCGTGGCACTCCCTGCTAACCGAGAAATTTCCAAATTCACAATGTGTTGACAAACATCTCAATAACTTAATTTGTATTGGATAAACATCTTGAGACCAAGTATTGGTATATGCTTAAATTATGGGCCCATATCCATGCAGCAATAGGAAAGATGTGTGCTATAAAGCAGGATTTTAGACAATGTACGTACTCCCATCGTTTTCTGGTTGAGGAAGATAAAAGAACGGCAGCTAATTGTTGAACTTTTGATTCCAACAGAATCGGGTGCTCAGCTTGATATACTCCTTATTATATGTAATTTATTTCTCGCTTCTGCTTTACCTTTGTTTGTTTTAGACATTTTTCTTCCTTTTCGTTCTTATCCTTTCAAATATGGCACTGGTTGGGTTGACTGATATAGCCGCCATA